GACCTAAACCCTAAAAGCCCAAACGCCCTTGAAGGCAGCAAGAAGTCTTGCTGAGGCTGCGGCTGCCTCTCCGTGGTGGTGCTGATAACGAGGTCGACTTTGGGCCCCCCTGGCGTCATTACTGTGTGTATCAGGAGGATTGTAGATGGCGCATGTCGTATGTGCATCTGTTCTCAACGATGCAAGGCCCGCCAGCTTCTTTGACAAACTCGTAGAACTCCTCCATGTGTGTGGTAAAGCATTGATGAAGCTGAGCCCGGATCAGACAGACACGATATTTCGGCACATTGTACTTACACTTAAACTTCGGACTACGTCAAGCTCAGGTGCTGTTGCCCCATCTAACCAGAAGTCAGAAACCTGCCGAAAGCAACACCTTAAGTGTTCAAAGACATCGATTTCTCTAATCCCCAGGCGGTCCATGATGGTTACGTTCGCAGATCGCAGGGCCGCAGCGTCGAAGAACCTCTCCCACCTTGCGAGACCGGCTTTCTTCCCCCGCGGCTGTAAGCTCGGCCCTCCTCCTTTAAAGTGCAATGCTAAAAAGGCTTGACGGTCAACGACGAATGTTCCCAGCAAGAGGTTTGTAAGATGGAAGATACTGCGTCGATCGGTAGAGATTTCTCTTTCACCGAAACAAACCCTTGCATGACGCATCCACTTGCCCACGAGACTGAGACGTTGCTTACCAGGGATGAGTTAAGGCAAAGCAAGTAGTAGCGAACCACCACAGGCACCCCCAACAATGTGTGTTGAGTTGCTTCTGTTAACTTTCTTGCCGGGGAATGTTTTCTTCCTGCGGAGGCAAAGCTCAGTGTGCCAAAACGGGACTCTCCTGCTGCCGAGGAACGGGACGTGTGCTCCATTAGAGTTCCGCCAGTGGGCCAGCCTGCTCCAGTAAGGCTTCCACGAGCCACCCTCTACAATTACAAGATATTTTTCCTAGCGGTTTAAGTAAAAAAAACCTGGAAACCTTAGCAGATGATAGCATAAAAATTATCGGAACTCAAGACGAAGCCTGTGTCAAGCTCTCAACGCAACGCCCTAGGTGCAATGTACTGAAACGCATATTGAGGTGGCTTCCAGGTGGCAGCAAGTCGATTGCATCCCGGCCAAATAAACCCAATGCGAGTCGCTGTGAACTCTCAACACAGCCAACCTCACAAGCCCCTCTTCATCCCTCTCACAAGCCTGAAATGCTTCTCCTGAAGCCAGAAGTCTTCCCCCGTGCACTGTGCACCTGCACCAGGGCGGCAGCACAAGCGCCCATTCAGCGCACTTCTGCCCCCTGGCGCAGGCCGAGCGCAAGGCCTCATTGACCCGGGAGACCTGGCATAGCGCATGGTGTTTGTGGCTTGTGGTGGTGGTTCCATTTCTGTTCGCAGAATCTTTGTAGGAACAGGATGAATTTAAAAAGATATGGTGTAAGTACCAGTCAGGGTGACTTTGCTAAGCCGGCAAGGTGTTGATACCTTGTGGAGACTATATTAAAGGCATAGCATTACCAAATATTCACAGCCCTACAATACAAGTGTGACCCTCCCTAAACCCTAAACCCTATAGACCCTAATCCGACACTTTTGGCCGCCTGAGAGCCCGAACCCTACACTATAAACCCCTAAGCCCTTTTTTTCACAAGGGACTCGACTGCTGCCCTTACTTCCCATGCCTCGCAACATTCCCCCTAAGCCCTAAACTCTGAGATCCCGGCCACCCAACCCACTCGGGGGAAGATCTCGCGCTGAAGATTGAAGCCTTCACCCTGCTTCACCTCACAGTCAATGAAGGCCAGAGCCCTGAAAGCCTTAACAATCATAAACAAAGTCATCTTACCCTGAAAGCCTTCATTATCATCATCATAAACAAGTCATCTTACTTTGAAAACCTTATCGTCAATCATAAACACTTCAGAAAGTTTTGCCTGCGGAGAATTGGAGGAGGTTGGTAGTTCGAAGGTTCAGACCGGTGTTGGTTTGGGTGCTTCCCTAAGTGGCTGTTGATCGACGCTTTAGACGATCTGGTTTAAGGTAGATTGGGGTCTGTTGAAATCTCGTTGGCCGTTGCATGAATCCTGCTTCGTACCGCCGTCGGCCTTTAGCCGCTCACTCATTCAAAACTGTAGGGTAGGCATGGAGCCCCTAAACCCTATAAACCCTAAAGTCATGGGTCCATGTGGCGAGCTGATGGTTTCGACTTCAAGGGTTTAAGGTCACAGAGCACAGGCAAAGGACAGCCGATTTAGGGGTTTGCGCAGGGGTTGGCGTTCCAAAGCAAGGCGTTAACACTGATTCAGAGAAAAAAAGCCCAAACCCGAAACCCTCAAATCCCTAAACAACTCATATCCTTATCCCATTAGCCACGGCCGCCCTCGTATGAATTTGCACCAAGAAGCATCGTACAGAAGATATCGCTTTGACCTGACGAGAAAGCCGGAAAAGTGCTTCAACCGAAGGTGTACCAGGCAAAGCATGGCATGCGGGATTTTAGGGTAAGGGGTTCGGGGCTTACAATAGGCCCAGAGGTCCACAATGCCCCCAGCAGGCCTTGTCGTGCACTGATAATTATGGGCAAGGAAAACGTTCCGGATTGCATCCAGCTCAGGGTGTGGCGTTTTTCCTGTCAGCTGATCTGCACGGCAGGTGTCACTGCCTTAGCTGCGCACCAGTGTCACGGCCCGGGCCGATCACAAAAACACGCGCAAAACCAAGACCACAAACTCTGCATGATGTCAAGAATCATCGAAACAACCGTAATGCAACGAGCTAGCCGGGTGTCATATATCCTCTTGGGGGACCTAACAAAGTGGCACGAGCCGGATCAGATTTGGAGTTCGAGCTCTGCTGAGACCCAAGCCTGATATTATGCTACCCCATATAAGCCCGCCTCTGTGCCTTCATTCCACGGCTCACAAGGAGTAGCGCAAAGCCTCGAACCCCCCAAGGCCTTACATAAAGGATGCAGCTTTACTGTCCAAGCGGCCAGCAACGCCAAAGCAGCGCCCGACCTGCGACTTTCTGGGTAGATGCTGTGGGGTGCTGCACTTTTTCTGGAGCTTTAGGAATTGTTGCTTGCAGCGTTTCCCAGGGAAGGATTAGGGCCATTCGGGCTTGACGACGATCCATTGTGGGAACTGCATTTGATGATGGTGCTTTTTTGCCACATGTCACAGTCAGCATGCTCCAGGTTACAGGAGCATGTGTAGGGCTTACAGGGTTTATGAGACTTATGATATTATGGTGCCCTAAACCTGCCTGAACCCGACGACATACCTTCGACGGAACCTGGCTTGGCAAGGAACCCCGTCAGTCGCTCTCCCTGTCAGCGGCCTCCTCGCTGAAGGTGGTCGCTGTCTCGCCTTGGTCCTTCGGGCACGGTGACCTGCATGGGCCAAGGACGATGGGACGACTAACAGAAAAAACACGATGTTGCTGCGAGGCATAGCATTACGGACAGAATGAACCTGGGGTGTGTTGGGAGTTCTTATTGTTGAGTGTTAGAGGGACGTTCAGGGTTCAGCACTGGAGTAGACTTCAAGGGCCAGTTGGCCCAGCATGTACGGATTCGACATGCAAGGTTGCGCACCGTGCTCTCGCCTTCGCAACTGTCAACTGCCTAAATGATCCCGGAGAAATAGCGGAAAAACCGTATATACATTCTGGCGAGACATCCAGAACCAGGTGGAGAAATAAGAGCACCCACAAGAACTCGCTAGGTCAGTCCAACAGACACGCTCTGCAACTCGCAGCGCTTTGCCCTACTCCAGCTGAACGCCATCCCCATGTAGCAAAAAGGGCTTTGGCCTAAGCCTATGCCCTCTGCATCGGGCGGGAATCTGAGGCATGGGACCTAGGCAGTGCACAGTCGCCCCAATGAGCGGAGGGACCAAAAATCCGACATCCTACACCCCAAAATCCCGAACCCGAATCCGCAAGCAGTCGAAGTCGTGAAGCCAAGCTTGAAGCCCGCCTGCACGTCCGCAGCTCTCGCTCGTAGCTGCTATCGTAACCTTCCATGGGCCCATCAAGTGAGTAGTAGACGTTTCCCAGTAGAAATCCTCTCCGGATCCCACGACACATATCAGAAACAAATGCTATGTGCTCCACAGAAGTCACCTACCTGGGAATCCTGCTTGCTGTGTCAAAAGGCGGGGAAACAACCAGGACAGTGCTTTGCAGCTTTAGGAACGACTGTGTGAATACGGAATCTTGGTATGTACCGGCGGCTAGGTCTAGGTATGTGCCATGACACGATGCTCAGCTACAGGGTATGGCTTAGGGTATGTGATCTCAAGTTTGCTTCTTAGCCGGTGTAAGAATCTTCCTCGCGTAATGCAGTGAAGCGTCAAGTGCACTGCGGGCCCATACCTCTCTGAATGTCCTGCCAAAGCAAGGTGTGAGCATGCTGACACCGCGTGCTGAGGGTATGCAGTCAGAAAGATGCACTGCCACTATATGCACGCCCTAGTGCAAGCACATGCTACGGCCTCTCAATGTCTCAAAAGCTACGTTTCTGCGTGATCCCTGTGCAACCCAAAGAACCCATTGAGCTCCCCTTCCTCCTACTCCGAAGATAAGAGAATCATCCAGTTGCAATATAGCGAATTTGGTAATCTAGTTGTTTCGCTTGTTGAAGGCATGGCATGGGGTCGGCCGAAGTTCTCATGGCAGGATCTCGCTTCAAGGACTTCTCCCAACTAGCTTTTCAGAACGAAGCTTATCCGAAATCTTTGGCTCTGCTTTCTGTGCCACAGATGTCGAGTCAAGAACTCCGACAACACCAGTCCGTCCTTTGCAGAGAGCCTCGTCAAAGCACACATTGACTTGCACGCTTCGCGTGGGCGATTTACAGCAAAACTCATAAGACATTCGTGAATAGTTTATTTATAGGGTTTCAACAGGGATTGTACAGGAACAGCATTACCCGGTAGTCATTGTCATAGAAGGCCCACCATTGCAGCAACTTGTTGTTTTGATCTTCCAAAGACTACATGTGCAGTTCGGAGATGTGCTCAGGGTCCTTGCAAGGGATACTTCTGTAACCTCCCGTCGACGCCGAATCATCCAACATGACTTGCGAAATCTTATCGCCTTATCCTTCACATGCTTCATACGTTAAGGGTTTCCCAAGTTTTTGAAAACGTCAAACCCTGACCCCAAACCCTTGCAATGGAGCTCAGAAGGAGGAGACCCGGATCTTTCAAACGGCCCCGGGCCCCTAAACTGTAGAGTCAACCCTAAACCCTAAGCCCTAAACCCTACTAAACCCACTGTAGAGCTTAGCGTTGAAGGAACGAGCTCAGCCTTGCACAAGAGTTGCCCCCCATGGTCGCGCGGGAATCAGGGACCACGGCCGAACACCAGGCCTGTCCAAAACATCAGAGTTTTGTCAAAGGGGTTTAGAAGTAAGATGAGAATTATGAGGCCGAAAAGGTGACATGACTCCGCCTATCCGGATTTGCGCCGGAAACTGGAGCCGAGAGTAGCACTAAGAAAGCTCCTAAGGGTATGTCTGCCTGGCGGTGACAAGTACCACAACGGTCTATTTCCTGGGGAGACCGCCCCAATCCGTACCTTCGTGCACCTTTGGAAGACCTGAAGCTTACCTCGGGCACCTGAAGCCCGAAAACCCCACATGCGAGAAGACCCGGCTTCTATGACAGCGGCGCCTTATAAGCCCGGTTGTATCTCGAACTCGGGGTTTCTGGAACTTCGGTTGTTGCTTTCGGATTTAAGGCGGACCCCGGAACCACAACTCCCGAGCGGACTATGGGGAACTATTCGTAATATTCTTAGACAAAGTAATCCGACACGCATGTCAAGGCCCCTTAGCCCTTCCGACTGAACCCAAGGTCAACCCCACAGATGAGGAACTGCATCCGAGCAGCCGCACAGCTCATGACGGTGGCGTCTTCGGGGCAGGGCCTTGCTTCGCTCAGTGGGAGGCTGAAATGACTCCAAATGTGCTTTTCAGATGCAGCGACTCCACGGGGTATTGGGGGTTTAGGGTTGAGGGTTTAGGGTTACCAGACTGCAAAGAGAGAACAGCGTCCAACACCATGACAGCAACCGCACTTCGGGTACTGTACCTTCGATCAAACTCTTACCCGCCATGCAAACGAATGCTACGCTACTCGGGCCCGAAACCATGAGCCTCCGAACCAGAATCTTGGAGCCAAAACCAAAGACCGAAATCCCAAAATTTGAGAAGGGCCGTGAACTTGAAAAGCTACCCAAAGCAGCAGGAGCTAGGTGCCCAGGCGGCTCCCCCACCGCAGCTCGCAGCACCAGCACGAGAAGTGGCCCTAAGCTCGAGGAAACGCAGCGATTATGAGACCAGGCCAACAACTGCAGGAGGTACGGCTGATGGACAAAATCCTGCATGACCTTATATACCTAAACTATGGGATTTATGGTACTATACTATACTTGGGTCATGCAGAATTTTGTCCATCAACAGTATGGCCTGCAAGGTCTGAATCACTCGATTGAACAGGATTTGCGGCAAAGACTGCGATGCTGAGGTGTCATGCAGTCTCTTGAATCATGAAACCTGATAAGCGAGTTATGACTACCTATGAAAACCCTGAACCACCTGCTCCGAACCCAATGCCTTAGCCTTAAACCCTGGCACCCCAAACCCTTTTGCATCCCGCCATAGACCCGTAAAGCCACACAACTTGAACCCTCGATCGTGAAAGCCATCGGCTCAAAGGTGAAAGCAGTCTTCATGCCAAGCAGCACGCCGGCCAGGCATCGCAGCGGCAGGGGAGATGCATCATTGAATTCGTGGAGAGAAGCTACGATGCTGAGGAGTCCTTCAGTTTGAATCATGGACTCTTGGTGGCTTTTCGCTGATCTAGCTTGCTCTGGGAACCTGGCTTCCATCACTTGCAAGCCTTATTCCAAAGCAGGAAGTGACTTGTTCATGGCAAGTCCTGACATTAAGGCATTGGACGTATGACCCTTGATTTATGTCAGGGCTGAGGAGATGCTGCTCAGAGCCTGTCGTTGGCAACTCCTGGATTACCTAAACCCCGAAGAGCCTACCTTTGTCAGGACTTATATAACGAAACCATAATAAGGAACACTAGAAAGGTAGGTTGTTTGGGGTAATGCTTGCAGCCGGAGCCTACCAAGGCTAGCTCGGAAAAGCCTTCTACGAGTGCCTTTGAGCGGTAGGATGTCGATCCGGTCGAAGGGAGGGAACAGGCGGCCAAACCATGAAGATACTATAGGGGCCGTAATAATTGGACTCGGGTTTTAGGGCCCATTATACTATAATTATAATAAGGAGTCCCCACAAAATAGTATAGGTAATTATTAAGGCTCCTTCATTACCCTGATAAGCATGATGTCCCCGACCCTGGCAAAGGCTGCCCAACACGCAATGCCAGACACCGACACCAGGACGATTACAAGGAAGGCTTCGGTAGTGAGAATTTCGGGACCAGGGACGGTTCCAAAATGCTCCAAGGAAGAAGATTGAAACTTTCCCGTCCTCATGGTAGGTATCCACACAGTTCTCCCTCGAAACCTAAATCCCTGACCAACTTCACAGGCCCATGCCTTTTGTAGCTGTACAAGGTCCGAGGAGGAGGCTCCAGTTCGACGATTGTCCACTCTCCTTGCAAAGGCCCCTGGCAAGCTTGCCGGCTAGAAATCGGTCTAAGCTTTGCCGTACCGGGTCTCAGCATGCTCACAACATGTAAGCTCTGAGATTGCAGGTCTACAAGAGAAAAGCAGGCAATTGCAACATACAGCATTGCAGCCATGGCCACGACATACTAGTGCGCTGACCTTCAACTATGTGTGCAGCGTGCTCTGGCGCAGGCTAGGCATCCTGATTTGCACACGGCCTTAGGATTGGCAGGCAAAAACCGTCAAAAGATAACACGCGCCGGGAGCTCCGAGTTCACCACTCGCCACCTGAGTCGGGGTATGGTTGGGACTTTACGGTTTAGAAGGGTTTCCGGTCGCTGCTCTTCATGCCAACCAGTAGGCCCAGTAGAAAGTGGATTTTAAGTTCTCTGAATCAGGCGCCGCTGCCAAAGGCCACGACACACTCAGATTCACAAGACGAGCGATGTCGTGAGTGTGCATTGCAGTTCACTCGGGGCAACACGATAGTGAGCGATGAAAGCTCATCTCGTAAAACGACTCCTGCTTGTCTGCCGGGCTATCCGGGAATTTGATGCGAACCATGGTCGAAAGAACTAGTGAAGCACGCCGGACACGACGCCATAGTTAAGAGTCGCGCTTGCTACGTGGCAGTCGAAGTTAAAAACAATCTGCCGAGTCGCATGGCTCCGGCAGGCTTGTCCGTGGCTGCCTGCAATCACAGGAGTTGTAACAGGGTTTTGGGTTATGGGGTTTAGGGTTTTAGGGTTTGGGGTTTAGGGGTTTGGGTTTCAAGGCTTTTCGGAAATAATACACAGACCTTGACCAGCTCAGGCAAGGCGGAAAACCCAAACCTGAAACCCCGGCACTCGGCGGAGGCACACACAGTCTCAGACCCTTCAACCTCACACATCTTCGGCTCCTTCTTCGTCAGCCTGCCTCCGAAATTCATCCTTTGCCCTGCCCTAAACCCTAAACCCTAAACCCTATAAACCCTGAAAGCCCTATATAAGCCCTATAAACCCTAAACTGACCTGTAGCCTCCCAGACTGGGCCGGCCTCGAAAACGGGGTGGTTCTGACCTCGGAGGTACGAGCAATGTCCCACACTCTCGGAAAGCATGCAGCCGCTGGGCTTCTGACATGATTCTACGGTTGATGATATGGTTTAGGGTTTAGGGTTTAGGGTTTAGGGTTTAGGGTTTAGGGTTTAGGGTTTAGGGTTTAGGGTTTAGGGTTTAGGGTTTAGGGTTAAATCCTGCATTACCCATAGCTAGGAAGATACCATAATCCCCCATAGTTTAGGGTCCTTCAGGTACTGCACAGATTTCATCAACAGCAGTAATGCACAAGGCTCTCTCGACAGGCTCCACCTGCAGTATTGGGAGGTGCCATCCAAACAGTTCAGTAGTTGCGCAGTTTTCTTGAAGGCAGGCAGCGTACAAAGGTTTGTGCTCATTCTTGGCACCGGTGCATTCAAGAGCCTCTGCATCATGGCGGAAATTGTCATGGCTCTTAAAGCATGAAGCCGTGTTAGAAACCTGCTTGGTTGTTGTATTTTTTCGGTAGCTTGCCTGCGCGGCTTGGTCCCAACGGTAATTTCGGTTGCAAGAGACCCGCTAAGCTCTGACACGGCAAACCCCAGATAGCTCACTCAAGTAAAGGTTTCTATCCCTACGCACTAATTAACGGCGAACCGGCGATTGATGCGTATACCGTCCTCGCAAATCCGAACAATCCCCGCCTGACCGACAGCACACATTCAGGAAACCTGACACAAATCAAGCGCCGTCCACTCTCCACTACGGGTGCATGGCGGGCTTCGGGCTAGAGAAAATCAAGCTTACGGGCCTGTTTCTGCATTTGCAGATGTCTCACACATGGATGTGAATACAAGCTATTTAAACTGAGGCTGAAAATAGCCCAAGAGCCTAGTATCTTATCGTCGTTGCACCATATAAAAGCTTATACCATCACCTGCAGCCTATGTTGAAGTTCATCCGTCTCGTGGAAAACTTAGAGCCCCCTAATGTGGGTCGACAGGGCCATACCAAGATCCTTGATAGTAGTACCTTCTTTGCTTACCATCTTTCTGTCTTGTAGCATCCTGAGCAAATAAGTTTTCCAGGACAAGGCTGTTGCAATCCAGGGTCTAAGCAGAGCTGAAAGGGAAGAAGGTCACCAAGCATTGGGTTGGAGAAGTCTGGAAGCCCGAGCATGTCTCAATATAGGCGCATGGACCCTCACTACACCCCCCGCCCCCCCAACAAAAAAATACGGTACCCGTCTAGAACCCTTGTGGTACGCTCTAAGTGGCCCGGCGCACTCCAAAGAGCAGATTGTCGAAAGACTTGATGTGCAACCAATCCTGGGCGAGCGCGGCGAACTCTGGAACTCTTATACCCACAGGGTCCAATTCTATGTACCTACATAGCAAAATTGTGGGGCTTCTATACTAGGACTTACTATTATGAGTTAGGGAAGTATCTACCATAACAGTACATAGGACCCATTGGAGTTAAGGGTTGACTTAAGGGTTTACGGCTTTCACTCCTATACTGGCACCAGCAGGCCAGGCTCGCAGGTCTCCGGGTTGGGGCGCAGCCTGCGGGCAGAATAGGGTTTAGGTGTATGTGAGGATACATAGCTACGTGTGTGTATATATATATATATGTATATGTATGTACATATACGTATGTATGTCTATACCTGTGTGTACGCGTGTGTGTGTGTATGTATTTATATGTCTGTATATTTATGTATATGTATGTATGTAAGTAGGTAAGTAAGTATGTATGTATATGCACATCGGCACCATCATGCTACGTCAGACCGAATCAGGCCGCTATATTGCCGTACAGAGACAGAAATTGACTCAACTTTCAGGAACGGAAGGCACTGCACAGCAACCCGTTCTATCAACGTCTGCCCCACATCACGGCTTGCTGAAAGCCTTCAACACTGTCGGCTCTACTGTATGGCCCGTGGCATGATTCAACGAGTTGTAGCACAACCTCAACACTCGCCCCTTTTCCTGCACTCAGCGGTCGACACTGCTTAGAAACCCCTTTGTACACAAAGGTGAATGTCTGACCCAGCACTACCTGGCAGTAGCAGTAGCTATTACATGCCGAACTCCAACTCCTCCGTCGTTTCAGAATCCGTACAACCCAAACCCTCCAAACCCTCTAGTTATTAAGATTACTCATGAATGGATCCTGATAGACGACCCCGATCACGACTGTGAGACGTGTCGTTTTGTGTCTGATCGCCCTGTGGCATCCACAAAGGCTCAAGGACTAGGGCAAGGCAACACCCCCTATCCGCTGAAAGGTTGTTTAGGCGGCCAATATGCAGCAGGCCCAGTACACGGAGACTAGTTACAATACCAACCCAAGGTCTCTGCCAAGTTGACACCCATGAAAGATGTATACTGAGTAGCTGCGTAACTCTAAATCAACGATGCACTGCCGATGAACTCTTGCTAACACCTCCCTGGCTGGTTTTCCAATCTCGCGGACGCCTCTCACTGCCGCGAAATGACCCACCCTACCTGTCGAAGCCCAGTTACAGTACTCGGTTACTCGTACAGTGTGCTACTGCTCCCGAATCCATATGTCAAACATATAGCTGACCCAATAACTCCATAACCTGCTGCTGTGCAGAAGAAACTGGGCTTCTTGGGTAAACTGATCACAACGGACTTCATTACGAACGCGTGCTCATCGCGCCATTGCTTCGGCATCGCCTGGAGGAATACTCTGAACTTGATGCACCGACGAGTGGATGCGCAATCAATCGAAGATCACCCCTTGTTCGCCTCTCCTCTTGCCCGAAACCGAAGAACCACCCATGCTTCATCTACAGTAGCACTCTTCTTTGAAGTCTCTCCTCGAAACGTCGGGCTCCAGGAATTCGCGAGTTGAATGCTCAGGATCAAGAGAACCTGCAACAACAGAGATGACAATCGTCTGAACCCAAACGATTCCGGTAAGGCGTACCTGTCCTAATGAGTTTGTCAACAATGAGTGAGTGCGGTTCCGCGTACAGCATTACGGAAGACGAACACGATAGGTTGCATGCATTGCAGCAACGCTCATAACTTCGATCGAAAGCGAGAGACGTTGCAAGCTCTACAACCGGAAAAACCCGAATCCTCTATAAGCTGTAAGCGACCTCTATCTGGGGTCCGCACCCGTCGCTCTTGCACGCGGTGGCATCCGATCACGAGTAAGAGGGGAGCGGCCTTTCAAAACAGGAGCTTGGCAAGCTGTTCGGGGCCCCTTTTGCTCAAAAGAGCTGTCGAAATTAGTGCTCTGACAAGCTCTCTCTTTCAAAGGCGAGGTAAGGCAGATTAGTTCTATGAATTCGCCATGCCGGGACGTGTGCCCAGTTCCAGTGCCAGCACTGGGATGATTCAGTCCTCACAAGTTAGGTCACGTCAGCTGTCCAGGTGCACCAATAAAGAACAATCCACAGGTTGCAATCTTATATGAGTGCACAACAAACAGTGGTGCCGCACAGATGGAAAAAACATCACAAAGCTTCGACCGCCCTGGACATGCCAACTAAGTCGCAGCTACAACACTTTGCTTTAACATGTTGGTCACGGTTTTCGCAAGATTGCACCACTGCATACTAAAGCAACAGGTCTCATCGTCTAAACCTACTGAGGAAACATGTGCAGCATCGAAACCGTGAGCACAATCAGAAAGCTCCGTGTCTGAGAGCAGTGTGCTGGAGCATTCGGAAGGAACTCTCAGCCGATCTTCTCCATAAGGTCTTGAACCTTTTCCGGGTCTTAAGGACTTTAGGGCTTTCATGGGGGCTTTAAGGTTAGGTCATCGGGTTTTTATGGGGGGGTTTCAAGGTCTTGTTCTTTCAAGTCTTGGTGCTTCAGCACTGGGACTGGGTCTTGGTGTTTGGGGTCTCAGGCTTCAGGGCTTCATCTCTTCAAGTGAATCGGCCATTGATAGGGTTTCATAGGATGTAGGGCTTAGGGTTTATGGGGTTTTTAGGCTTTAGGATTCAGGGGGTTGGGCTTAGGGTTTAAGGTTGAAGTGTTTTGGCCCCCCATATTACTAGGGTTTAGGCTAAACCCTAAACCCTAAACCCTAACCCTGAACCCCAAACCCTAAACCCTTCATGACTAGGGCTAAATGTGTAGGCCTGCTTCTTGAGCTCATAGACTTCCACCTTCAGGTCGCCGGGCTTGCAGTGCAAGTCATCGATGAAGACGTACCTTACGATTTAGGGTTTCGACTCACGCACTCGCAACTGCAGGCATGGCAATAAGTGTCCGAGATTCAGGGCTTAGGGTGATCTGCTGTGCTTTGTAGGTTCTTATGATGCTAATATGGAACATGTATAAGATCTCTCCACAAAATGACCGACTTCTTCTAGATTCTTATTGTAAGCCCTGATACAGAATATATACGGTTACCATAAATCCTTATACCTCGAACAATTAATAAACCCTAACATGGACTGGGGAGGGTTAAGTTTTAATTCAAGCCCTGATGTAGAACATATATGGATGCTACAAAAAAAAGTTGGTTCTGGTAGTTCAAGGTGCATCAATGGAAGTACGACGGTCAGGGCGTACATCAAAGGCTCCGCCACCTTGTATGCCCAATGGCTGTAGTAGTTCCGCATGTACTTGCACTCCGCAATGGTGTCAGGATCGAAGCCCGCCTCGGTGATGCCCTTGTCATCCATGAGCTGACTAACGGAGTTGAAGTAGAGCTTCCCCAACTCCTCGCCATCCCAATCATCATCGCCCAGGAAGCCCATCTCCCCTCCGATGTCATCCAGGTTGTAGAGGAAGGTCACGGCCATGGAGTTGAAGAGCACGTCCTGGCTTCTGACTTCTGAACGCCC